TTTCCAGTTTTTGCCCATTCAGTATAGTATTGGCTGTGGGTGTGTCATAAATAGCTCTTATTATTTGGAGATACGTCCCATCAATACCTAGTTTATTGAGAGTTTTTAGCATGAAGGACTGTTGAATTTTGTCGAAGGCCTTTTCTGCATCTATTGAGATAATCATGTGGTTTTTGTCATTGGTTCTGTGTATATGATGGATTACATTTATTGATTTGTGTATGTTGAACCAGCCTTGCATCCCAGGGATGAAGCCAACTTGATGGTGGTGGATAAGCTTTTTAATGTGCTGCTGGATTCGGTCTGCCAGTATTTTATTGAGGATTTTTGCATTGATGTTCATCAGGGATATTGGTGTAAAATTCTCTTTTTTTTTTGTTGTGTCTCTGCCAGGCTTTGGTATCAGGATGATGTTGCTCTCATAAAATGAATTAGGGAGGATTTTCTCTTTTTCTATTGATTGGAATAGTTTCAGAAGGAATGGTACCAGCTCCTCTTTGTACCTCTGGTAGAATTAGGCTGTGAATCCATCTGGTCCTGGACTTTTTTTGGTTGGTAGGCTATTAATTATTGGATTCTTGAAGTCTTTATAGTAAACATAATACACATGCTATGCCAGCTTGGGGTTTTAACAGCTCTGGGTAGCTCTTTGCATATAGATGTAGAAAGGTGAAAGAAAAGTGGAAACATATCTACATTCTTGGGTAAATATTTAGAGATGAACAATGAATCAACTGTTCAACAGACACTTTGCATATGTATGTGATAAAAATATTTCAATAGAAATAGGATGGCTAGACACTTGCCAGATAATCTGATGGCCTGGGTTCTCTTAAAGGCTTGTAATTGACGCCTAGTGTTTCTTCAGTTTTGCCATTTGTCTCCAAATAAGGAAACAACCAACATAACATTTTCTAATTGCTATAGACATGTGGAGAGATATCTTATTTTTTGCATGGAGTTTTTGAGGTCCTGATAAAGGTATTAAGAAAGGTCGCATTCTCCTCACATTTTTTTTTTTTTTTTCCTGAGTTAGGTATAGAGAAATAGAGTATTGAATCTTTTTCTTTCATTTTTGGATAATTCAGTGAAACTGAATAATCAGTCCTGGTCATGAGGGACAATGAGCTATGAGTAAAGAGAGAAAAAGAGGAGCTGAAATGACCCAGTCTTCTGGTCTTCTGGATTTCTCAGAGGCACAGCTTTTCTGACTGGTTGTAAACTCTGCCAAAAAAAAAAAAAAAAGAGAGAAAGAGGAAGGAGGAAGAAGAAGAGAGGAGGAGAGGAGAGGGGAGGGGAGGAGAGACAGAGAGAAAAAGAACACAACAAGGAGGATATTTTCTTTCATGGACCAAAGAAGATGGCCTTGTAGGTGAGCCTGAGGCCAGAGAGCCTGAGGCAAAGGGCAATGATGAGTTGGATAACAGAGAGGAGCCATTGTGGAACTACCAGTCTGAGCCATAGAATATATAGATGAAGAATACGATCTAAACCTGAGGTCAAGGACTTTTCGGTGCTTTAGAGCGGCACGTGTTCATGCCTGCTATGGACTAACTGTGAGATTGTTCCTATTGGATTTTTACAATTTCTTTCTTTCACAAATATACTGAGGCAAGTAATAGACCTATGCTCACAATATAGTACATGTCTAATAGGGGGAAACATTCACTTCATCCTGTGGGTTTGAGGATGGGAAGAAAAAGATCATGGGCATCTAAAATCAAGCATAAGAAATGGCAAGAGGGAGTCTAGGGAGGTAGGAAGAGGCCTGGTAATACAAGGTCTCACATGCCGTGCTCCGGAACTCACACTGTTTTCTATAGGTGATAGGGAGATACTCAAGAGTTAAAGAGAGAAGTAGCAGGGTCAGAGTTTCGTTTTAGGTACTCAGCTGGGGGGAAGCATGTGGGAAAGTGGACTGGATTCTGGTGGCTAATGCAACAGTCCAGATGAGAAATAAGGCCTGTGGCTGGGTGTGGTGGCTCACACCTGTAATCCTAGCAATTTGGGAGGCCAAGGTGGGTGGATCACTCGTGGCCAGGAGTTCAATACCAGCCTGGCCAACATGATGAAACCCATCTGTACCAAAAAAAAAAAAAAAAAAAAAAGTAGCTGGGCATGGTGCGCCCTTGTAGTCCCAGCTATAAGGGTTGCTGAGGAAGGGGGGTCGCTTGATCCCAGGAGGCAGAGGTTGTTGTGCTCCGAGATCACACCACTGCACTCCAGCCTAGGAGACAGAGTCTTGCTCTGTCTCAAAAAAAAAAAAAAAAGAAAGAAAAAAAGAAATAAGGGCCTGAATTGGGGGAAGTATACTAGGTTTACGAAAGAGGAAGAGAATAATAGAAATAATTATGGGCTAAAATTACAGACCTTTATGATAAAATTATTTTAATTTTACTAATAGGGAATTAATTATATTATAATTATAACATCAGTGAATAGAGAAGAGGGAATTGTTTATTTATTTATTTATTTATTTTTTTGAGACGGAGTCTCGCTCTGTCGCCGAGGCTGGAGTGCAGTGGCCGGATCTCAGCTCACTGCAAGCTCCGCCTCCCGGGTTTACGCCCTTCTCCTGCCTCATCCTCCCGAGTAGCTGGGACTACAGGC